ATTTTGAAAAAATAAGATAGAATAAAATGAAACCAAAGAAGAAGAAAGTGATACAACATTTGAAGACTTTTATTCCTCTCGAGAGGTTGGATGTTGATGAAGAATATATAGAGCAAAACTCGTTCTTGTCTAGGACACCAATAATGAATCAACTTGATGGGAGTGCTAACCAAATCTTGTAATAATCTAAAACTATTAAGCCTTAAGTTAATACCAAGTATTAACTTAAAGAGAGTGTCAAAGTATCTATCTATTCTTCAAGTCTTAACTCCTGAGCATGTTCTTTACGAGAAGCCTCACAACTAGCTACTTGAATCTTCTTTCATTCATGGAATAAGTCGAGAACAAAGGGCAATAGTTAGATGTTTAATATTTGTGGCTAGATGTTTAATATTTTATGATAAATATACTTGTGTGCAAAGTTATATCGACTTGTCTATTGTGTGAGTTCTTGGGATGACATATTTAGTGGGAATAGATAAATGTTTAATATTTGTGGCTGTGACATATGTGTTGAGCGATATAGATGGGACTTGAGAATTATACACACTTCCTTAGATGTTTCAAATAACTGAGCGCGATTGACGGGTTGTGCCAAAGGGAAAGGAAACGAGCATTTGGTTATTTCTCTGTATAATTAAACGTTCTCTGGAATTCTGTCTTTGGATGATAAGTACTACTATATGATTTGGGGCAAATCGCCCTACAAAGTTTCTAGGATTGGTCTATTTAGTCCTTAAAATATTTTTGTTCCTTTATGAGGGAATAAACTCGTTTGGAACCTGTCTTTTTAGTCACCTGAACTTATTTTACCCGGTTACAGTCCCATATAGACAACATTTTCCACATTACCAATGTTCTGCAAAACACCATATTCCTCAAATCTCTCTTCAACCGACTCAAATCTCGATTCCATGTTCTGCAAACACCACTGTTCTACCCACCCATTCATCAAACCAGCTTTCTCAAAACCATTGTTTATCTTCGAATTCTCTCTACTTCTCTTCCATTAATTAATCGGCATCGCCATGCTTTGCTGCTCCTTTTCGATTTCTCTGTTCATTGATTGTTGTTCTATGTGGAAAAAAGGAACTAACGATTTAACCTCTATTGACTCTCCCCTTGTAAAATGATTTACACATCCATTACTTACTCCCAACAAAATCCGGCAGAGATTCACCTTCACCACCAACGAAAAACCCAAAGACGAATTCTTTGGATCCCCCGCTGCATGCAATTGGCTTTGAGATCGACGACTTAACACCACACAAAGTGACTGATCATCTTCAGGTCACTGAGAAGTCTTGTCAGGTGATATTAAATTTTCATTCTTATCCCAAATACGAAACTAAAATTTGAATCAAACTCAGACAATCATTTAATGTGTTACACGACGGAGTATCGACATTAATAGCAGAGTCGCTGGCAAGTACAGTAGCATTCATAGCGTCGGGATACAAGAGAATCGTCGCGGTACAACTAAACTTCAACCACCTTAAACTCGATACGTTTATGTGAATTTAAGGCTTGTTTTTATTTGTTTTAATGCTTTCATATATGGGATTGTTTCATAACTTTAAGGGATATGTTATACCAGGTCACAATGACAGTGGTATAGTAAATTTTTGCCGATTTTTCTTCTTCGTTTTTCTGGTATGGAATGCAGAAATAGAAACCAAGATGGAATGAAAAAATGGAGATCCACATGTATCTATTGAAAACCCAGTAATCAAAACCCTAACGAGAGAGAGAGAGAGAGAGAGAGAGAGAGAGAGAGAGAGAGAGAGAGAGAGAGAGAGATAGAGAGAGAGAGAGAAAGAAAGAGAAGCCATGTCAACTTAAAGTGCTTATGTGGCTTATAAAACCTACTATATTACGTAACAATAACCAAAAAAGAAGGTGGTCGTCTACTTTATGCCCTCATAAAGGAATAAAATTACTTTAAGGACTAAATAGACCAACCCTAGAAACTTTGTAGGGCATTTACGTCATTTGCCCTATGATTTGTATTGAAATGTATGACAAAACTCTTTGGTTTTAAACCGATAGATATCTATGTGGAACACAAACTCACTAAGCCTTAAGTTTACCAGGTTAAAAGGCTTAATCAGGAAGACGACAAAGGAAGTCCACGAAAATGTAACACCCTAAGCTCTTCAATCGAAGATTTTATTTTATGTTTATCGTTTATGTTGTGGTTTAGATAATAACGAACTACTTTCGTTATACCCTCCGTACCTGCACGTCCATCGATGGTGTGTGGTCTTCATCTCCGTTCCGATTGTCATAAATAGATCTCAAATAGATTTCGAAGAAGAAACAACATGGTAAGTTCGTCGCCGAGTTCCAAACATAAATCTGAGAAAAAACTAAGATTTTATTGTGATTGAATTGAGAGTAGAGTGAGAAGGTGGTGTTTATTGTGGGTATTAAATTGAGAGAAGAATGAGAAGATAGTGGTAAATCGGAATACATAAGGCTAAGGGGTATGGTCACACCCAACCTACTCAAAAAGTGACGCCACATCAGCGCCACATCACCTCCACTACAAACCCATTACCAACCCACTAACCCTTGGAAATGGTTACAACTCCACATCATTTTTTTTCTTTTTTATATTTTTTGACAATATTAGATTAAATTAAAAAAATAATTCAAATAACACACATTAGAATAATTTAAAAAATAATTATTAAACAAAAATAAAAACACAAATATTAATTAAAAACATTTTACATTAATTTAAAAACCAGAAATTTAAAATCTACAATACTTAAAAAAACGCAATCATTTAAAACCTAAATTACTAAAAAAAACATAGAAAATATTACTCGTCGTCCTCCTCGTCGTCATCCCCGTCGTTGTCAACGCCACCGTGTTGTTGGAATTGCCTTTGCCATATATGCTCAGTCAAATCATAACGTAAATTGTGATGTGTTTCACTGTTTTGTATTTTTAAAAGTCGTGTGAAGTATGCAGGGTTGCCGACTTATATTACTGCAGGTGGGTTAAGAATATCTTCCGGATTATACATACAAATAGCCCTGCCCTCTTCTTTAATTATCATGTTATGGAAAATAAGACAAACAGTCAACACCTTCGTCAATTTCGCCCTATCCCATGACTGTGCCGGATGTTTGATAATGTGCCACTTTTGTTTGAGGACCCCAAACGCCCGTTCCACATCCTTCCTTGCCGATTCTTGTGCTAACTTGAACAATTTTCGTTTTTCATCGACCGGAAATGAGTACGACTTGACAAACGTAACGTACTCTGGATATATCCCATCACCAAGGTAATACCCATAATTATATTGATGTTCATTCACAACGAACGACATGTTTGGGGCTTTACCCTGCAAAATATCATTAAATATCGGAGAGGCTCCAAGCACATTCAGGTCGTTGTGTGACCCCACCATACCAAAGAATGCATGCCAAAACCATAGGTCATGTGAAGCAACGACCTCTAGTATAATAGTCGACACGCCATTATCACCTCATGTGAATTGACCTCGCCATGCATTGAGACAATTTTCCCACTCCCAATGTGTACAATCAATGCTGCCAAACATTCCTGGTAAGCCATGCTTAGCTTCATGTGTGACATACAACTGTTCGATATCATTTCTAGTTGGATGTCGCAAGTATATGTCACCATAAAGCTCTATGACATACTCACAAAAAAGATAAGTACATTCTCGCCTAGTCCTCTCAGACATTTTCAGATACTCATCTGACGCGTCTGCGACTATGCCGTAAGCCAATTGTCTAAGGGCTGCTATGCATTTTTGTATTGTACTAAAACCACGTTTACCTCTTGCATCCCATCTCAATTGGAAAAACTCATAATTGTTTTCCAAATCTCTAGCTATACGTAAAAATAAATTTCTACTAATACGAAATCGGTCTTCAAATTTTGATAGGTCGTACAAACTATCAGGGGCAAAGTAATCACGTACCAAAAGCTTGTGTGCCGCCATACGATCCCGAACTATGGAAATTCTATGCCTCTTCTCGATATTTGAACTTTCGCCTCTTTGTTGCACCCTATTGCGTGCCACAGACAACAATGTGTGCAACACCAAGTCATCTTCATCAGAGCTACCATCATCATCGGATGAAGAAGAAGAAATCGAATCCGCAAAGTTATTCATATCTATGTTTGAAAGTGTGTTTGAAAGATGAAATAGAAATATGTTTGTGATGCGAATGGAAGTGTGTTTGTTTATATGTGGTGTATGTATTTATATATGTGTTGAGTTTTATTTGATTTTTTTTTTAAATGTTTGTAACGGTCAAAGAAAGGAAAAAGGAACGGTCAAAAATGCTGCACCAATCACGTCTAGCGTCTTCATCCGTAGCCAGCCTCACGCCACAAGGCACCTACGCACACATGGGGCGGTGTTCACGCGTAGGTGGCCTTGCCACGTAGGCACTACGCGTAGGTTGACCCAATCCATACCGCATGGCCTAAGCCATGCTCCAATTTCAATAACACGTGAAGAAGCAAAAAGCTATGCAAAATCTTACATGTGTAAACATTTCTTTGGCCGGAAGGACCAAAACAGCAATATGCAGAAAGTAGTGTGGCTAAAGTCTGAAGTTGATAAAGTATATTATTCCTAACTGCCATGGAAATTAAATATGTATATTAATAGTTAAAGTCTAATGTTTTATTTGGAGGCGGAGGCAGGAAGGATCCCTATAGCAGTCACACTCAAAGATAGGAGTGAGAATGTGCAATCGACCTCCTAATGTGTTTGTGATAGTGGAAGTGAATATGTTGTTAACACTTTATTGGGTTGTACCTTCGTGATCAAAGCCCGAGAATGGATCTTCAAATCATCAAATGATGCTATTTTCAATCACGGTTGAGTTTCTTAACTTCGATGCAGATCGGGCTAACTGTCCATAAAACAAAACAGAAGATAATCACAACACATATAAAAAGAAATGAAGAGTACCTAATATTCATAAGACTAAAACCCGAAACCTGTAAATTATTCTGCTACAAAATGAATAGTTTACAATAAATGAGCATAGAAGCTCACGTGTATCAGTTAGTTGTACAGTACAACCTACAAATGTCACACATGAAGGAGTTGCACTTGCACAGTATAAGCAGTATAAGCAGCTGATACAAGCTTGTACGATTCTATATGAACAATGTATAACCCCTCATTACATGAAGATAAAAGGATCGACAGTAGAAAACTGATCAACAGCTGTTCTTAAATCTTCCCAATCTCCATGCTTAATGAACTCATTCACATCTAGACCGGAAAAGCTAGAGCATGATGCCGTCGTCGATGGAGGCTCAGATGTCAACGTCGACCTCGTTACCTGCCCCATAATCACCTGGTTTGTCGTCCCATAGCGTTGTTGGTGAAGATGATTATTCGCAAATGGTTTGTTATCATTGATTACAGGAGCTTGAAAGCTAATGTAGCTTTGCATATCGTAATCGGAGTCTCCACTGCTTGTATCAACCACCGGTGGTGATTTTCTGGTGGCTACTTCTCTCCATTCGGGTAATGTTTTTTTGTAGCATGGAGATCTCTTCAGAATTCTACATAACGTCCAAACTTCCTGCATGCAGGCAAGGTGTTTGATGTAAGTCTCGTGCTAATTTTATATAAGAATTTATATCAATCGAGTGAATAGAGATGTAATTAGTTAGGGTTTATACTTACAGCTTCTGGAGCGATGGATTTATCGTCGATTTGGTTGTCGGAATAAGGAGGAAGACGAAACTCGTGCATCATCCACTCCGTTTTGGTGCCTTTACCGGCGCTTCCACGGTAGTAAACAAGTGACTTCTTGAGACCGATGCAGACTGATCCGTCGCCGGAATAAATTGGACGATCGATGCCGGTAGCTTTCCAGAAACCGGATCCGGTCACTCTGTTAGGTCTTATGCTGTTCCTATACTTCCTTCCTCTTCTACAGAAGAAGTACCATTCCTTTTCTCCCGCATTACTTCCTTCTACACCATTTTAAACCACCATAAATTGTTATTTATTTGATGTGTTTACATCAAATTAAAGTTGCATGTATAGCAAAAAGATAAACCTGCTTTTAATCATTTAACTATATTTGTTTCTAATTATGAAGAAAGTGGCCAAGCATCATCGATATCATCCTGTATGCCTAAAACTTAGCTTAATCAAAGTTTAATCTTCTTTCTTTTTTGCAGAAATAAAAGAAGCATAATAAAGCATTTAATTCATACTTGGAAGATCCCAAGGATCGTATTTGTAGATGTCAATCTCCTTGATGAGTTCGATGCTGATGGGTTTCTTCTCAATCTTCCTCCGTAGATAAAATCCAACAAGCTCTTCATCCATGGGATGGAAACGAAACCCAGGAAGAGGTACGTTTTCTTCTTCATCAACTACTTCTCTACTATAATTAGAGTTATTATTTAACTGCTGCTTCTGAGTATCCATAGATTCTTCTAGCGATTTTTCTATATGGATTACTGGGGTGTGCTTGTGTGTGTATAAAGTAGAAACCTTTTTCTTTGTGTTTTTTATGTGGAGTAGTGTGATTGTATGTGAAGAGGGTTCGAGAGGAGTTTAAATTAAGGATGATAAATCTCCTAACTTGGTCAAAGTCATGAAGATTGACTTGGTGGGTGTTTTGAAGGGCCCAGAAATCTCAACTTCTTCAAACATACAAAGTCTTTGGTCCTTTATTCGCCCTACAAAAGTTATCATTGAAACGAAATTAAGAACATGTGTACAAGAAACAAAGAAATAATCCTCTCAAAGCACGTCACTTAATCATCTCTTATTTATATTATAAAATTATTTTATACCTAGTTCAATACATATATTTTGACCTAAGCTTCAAGCTTTTATGAAAATTAGCTATATATTATGACTGAACAGCTTAGGATAATCTTAATGGGTTTAAGCTTATGATCAACGGAGTTGATGTAGTTTGTCTGATTCCCAAATTAATTACCCATATGATATGTCAATCTTGACTAGGCACATACAAATTAAATACGTTATACTTAATTTTAATATACATGTAAATGTCAATTTTTGACTAGGGACGTAGCAAGTAAATACTTTAGACTCAACTGTAAAAGTGACGCATTAGTCTCACATCCTATTAAAGATTCACACATCGACTCTCAAAAAAGAAATTTACAGTATATCATCACGTCAGCTAATTGTTAGCATTTGGCCTTTTGAGTTCATTTTATTCTTAGTTATTTACTTATTTAGCACATGTTGGCTATATAGTCTACCCTAGTAGCCTTGTGGTCTTTGAGCTAGGTAAAAACTGTCAAACTCTTACATATATTGAATAGAAAAATAAGACTGGCAGGTCTAGTTTTCATATATTGAAGGATTAAATACTAGAAAAAGTAATTGCATTTACATGAAGTTATTGAAAACAATTTATCTTAATTTAATCGTTATATAATTTTTGACCGTTTAAAGGTGCATTTTTGTTGGTATGTAGATTTAATACAATGAGTTGGATGTGTTAGAAAGAAGGGGTTCGGTGTTAGGAGTTTGGTAAACATATGGATATAGTGACTTGTGGAGTTTGATATTCCTTTTGACCTCATTGCACCTGCTGAGACTAAACAATTTGATTGATGGGCAACACCCCAAGAATAAATTTTCTAAGGGTCTACGGTGCTAACTGCATCAAAAGCTGCGACTTAGTCTGCTGTGCTTGGACAGAAGGTCCGCAATGCTCGTCACAAAGACTGTGGTGCTCAACATAATGTTTGTGATGCTTGATGAGCAGATACGTGGTGTTCGGATATGTGGGCCAGAGTAGTTTATGGCGTTTTGGGCTTGACCCACAAACATTGTTTGGTTAGCTTGTCATTATAAATAGATCATTTTATACCTTGGTAACCCTAAGAAAAAAGCATGTGTATGACGCCCCTAGCCAAGGTATCTACCCTTTAGACCCCGCGAAGGGTGGCGACCCTTTGACACCTATCTTTCTTCATGTTCGAGATCAAATTTGTCGTATATACAAGTATACACCCACACCACTTTACTTATAGTAGATCACATTATAATCCCATTTTCCACTCGTGTTAATTCTAATTACACAAAATTGGTGATGACACTAATACCACCATCAATCTTCTATGTTGTTAATGTGACCTATGAATTTACACAGTAAGTCAAACAAACCAAAACTTATACATAAATGAAAATATTAAACCGATTTAATTTTCAGGTTAGCATTTTACACATTTCAAATATTCGCGAATGAAGGTATATAAGGACTGAATCCACCAAACCATTTGAATACCTAATTGTAAAATACATCCAAAATTTTATATAAATCCATAAAATAAAAGCTTGAAATGGTTTCTAAAGTCGTGTTTCCTAATCCTCTCGTGATTATATAAAGATTAAGTATCCAACCTTTTGAAGTATGCATGCACTTCATAATCACATAGGCAATTCATATACATCATGTACTTGCAAGGCTGCAATACACTTTTTTCAAAAGATTTATTAAGAAAGTTCAGCCTTAACAATTGTAGATCCGAAAACACTTTTATATACGACGATTTAAAGTGTTCTAATCCATAAATGTGAGATTTTTGCATTGAACTCAATTTATAATATCACATTTGAAGGGAATTAGGCGTCTTACCATTATAGATTTAGATGGAATTTAACTCCATCCCAATAGCAAACTTGTATACTAAGTCTTTGTTCAAACCTTTGGTCAAATGATCTGCTATGTATAACACCTAATTGTATAAACTTGTCATTATAAACTTGGTTACATGCCTTAACTAAAGTGGCAACACTATCACAATGGATAGAAACATGTGTAATTGATGACCATAATGGAATCTCAATAACCAAATTGCTTAGCCACTCTGCCTCTTTACATTGAGAAAGTAGTGCACCAAACTCATATTCCATTATTGAGTTTGTAATGCAACTTTGCTTATTAGATGCCCAATTCCCCAATCAAGAATGCCCAACCACTCATAGAGGAATGATCCTCCATGTTAGATATCAAACTTACATATGAATATCCTTTCATATAACATCCCCTTATAGTAATTTTAGGATGGGTGACCCCATGAGAAGTTTTTATGTCGGGATGCACATAGTGGACAATATTATGGTGCATGCCTTTAGGGGATGTTACAATTGGTATCAAAGACTAGGCACATTTATTATGTGATGGGGACGTTGAACATTATAGTTAAAGGTGAATGGGGGGGGGGGGGGAGATCCTTGATCCTACATTGAATGGGAATGAGAACCAAGCATTTCCTTATAAGGGATGTGGATGCCTTGGGGAAGAGATCCTTAATCCTACATCGACTAAGAAGGAGAATTAAGCATTTCCTTATAAGGGATGTGGATGCATTCTCTATCACAATATGTTTTAAAGTCGTGAGGGTAGCAAATCCAATGAGAACTTTGTAGTTAAGGAGGCCTGGACAAGAGTAATTTGAGGATGGGTGACCCCTAAGGAAGCATTTCCTTAGGGAGATCCTTGATCCTACATTGAATGGGAATGAGAACCAAGCATTTCCTTATAAGGGATGTGGATGCCTTGGGGAAGAGATCCTTAATCCTACATCGACTAAGAAGGAGAATTAAGCATTTCCTTATAAGGGATGTGGATGCATTCTCTATCACAATATGTTTTAAAGTCGTGAGGGTAGCAAATCCAATGAGAACTTTGTAGTTAAGGAGGCCTGGACAAGAGTAATTTGAGGATGGGTGACCCCTAAGGAAGTTTTCCTGCCACGATGCCCAAAGCAAACAATATTGTGGTACATGCATTTAGAGGATGTTACATTCTAGAACCAAAGGATATCCTAAGTAACTCAAATAATAATTCATGGTTCCTTAAGATACTTGAATATTGTTTGACCACCTGCCAATATTAAGAATTATGATTAATACATACTTAAGCTTCCCATGACATAGTAATATATGGCCTAGAGATTATCATGACATACATCAAGCAACCAATAGTCTTAGAGTAATCTAATTATGACATAATATTGCATGTATTTGACATTAATTTTATATTAGGATCCAATAGAGTGCTCATGAGAAAACAATCACTATTTACAATATTGGTTTAAAAAAAACAAATCGACAAAATACTTCATCAAAATTTTTATTACATTCTTTATGAGCTTGTATTAGCCCATATACTGATTTCACAAATTTACTCACCTTATGCCAGTTACCAGGCATAATAAAGCTTTCTGGTTGTTTCATGTAAGATTCTTCATCAACATAACTATTAAAAAAATGTTGTTTGAAGCCCATTTGATGAATAATCAAATTATGCATTTCCGCTAAGGAAATCAACAATCTAGTAGTTAAAATCCGAGCTACCAAAGCATACATATCAAAATAGTCAATTCCAGGGGCTCTTTAGACACTTGAATAAATAAACGGGCCTTAAAATTATCATTTGTATCATCAAATTTTATATTCTTTTTTAAAATCCATTTACATCCAAGTAGTTTTAAACCTGGATACAAGTTTGATAATATCCAAGTGATATTTTCAACAATTAATGACATTTCATCATTACTTTCTGCCTTCTAAAATGCAAAATCTTGTGGCTACATAGTCTTTTTGAAGGTCCTTGGTGTTGGAGATATGATTATTAACACAACAAGTTGGTAACACTACTAATAAGTACACATACCTATTGGGTTGCACACAAAGTACAATTTAAAAACGATAATAATAAATAAAAGGATTAATTTGTTATTCATCAACTTATTGTTAAATTATAAACTATAAAATAGAGGGACTTAATTTGCAGATACGCATATTTAGTTTTGACTTGATATTTATCTATTTAATTATAGATAATTATGTTCTTAATTAAAATGTTTACTTGATGGGAAAAATTAGCATTAGGGTTTTCCTATATAAGGCAACCCTTTTGGCATCCTTGGACCGCCCCCTTAAGAGCCATGGAATATCATGTCCCCTTTCTCTTACTTGCGTAAAAACTAGCCTCTATAAGTTAGGGTTTTGGTCTTCTTGTTCCCCAAAAGATCACTAAAGCTAAGGAGGAACAAGAATGTGTTCTTGTGTTGAAGATTGTCTACTTTGGGATGTGAATTAATAGGGGAACTCTACTTTGGGTTCTCAAAGATCATCCCAACAAGGTGTTATTTTAATCCTAATTTTAGTTAAGTTGTTGCTTGTTTTCATTAATACAGAGCTTTTATTTGCATTATGATGGCCGCTTTTGATATGTTTACGTTTCTTTTCTGTGTTTTGAAAGCCAACCTAATCCAACAGTTATATCAAAACCTTATGTTCATGATTAATCACATAACAAAAAATGATTTTTTTTGTGTGCTTGAAATTTATGAGGTATGATCCTGTACACACACAATGGAAATTATGTGTATGATATATACACATTAAATTTCAATGGTTTTAAATTAAAAATGATTTTTTTTTCAAAGAGTTTGGATATTTTGTTTATTATGTCACCATCTGTTTTGATTCATTCGTATATGTTGTTTGGATGGTTTTGACATGAGAACCATACAAA